GATTTTCTTCTAGTAAATATCCTAAAACAACTATAAAAAACTGATAAACCGATTTTAAAAAGTCTATAAAATCGAAAAATCAAAATTTAATTTTTCAGTGGTAATAGGCATTTGTAAACAAAAAAGTGGCTAAATTTATGCATTTATGGCACGACTGCCACGTTTCTTGCCAGTGCAAAAAATATAACTATATTAATATAAGTTTGAACAAATTTTATTGATTTATTAATATCGCTTTATTACATTGATTTTTAGCGATTTTTATTAAATATCGTTGTTTAGACCATAATAATCACAATTTCGATATAACTGTGTATTTTAAAACGTGAAACAACAAGATCTACAAACATACCAGATCGACCACACATATTAAATCTAATACATAAATTGTAGCGAAAAAACTGATTTTTTGACTTGCTGGAATATTTCCTTAAATTTTCAGGGCATCCAACTTTATACTTGAAATGTTTTTTTGACTACACACAAAACTTTAACAAAAATTAATAATTTTTTTAGCCACTGGACGCTAACTCGATGCTTGGAAATTATAAGGCACAATAGAAAATAGTTGATTTTATAACCATTTCAAATGAACTTTTTTCATGACTTTTCGTACAGGTACTACTCTCCTGGTTATCCTGATAGTTTATTGGAGGCCGTAGACCAATATCAACCAAATTGCTCGCAGATGGAGATTAAAAGTGAATGTTCGAATGAGAAAAGCACTTCGAGCGCTTCTGCATGTGACAATAACGATTAAATCTTTTAACAATGTAAGGTATTGAAATAAAAGGGGTGTTTGATTAAATTTTAAGTGTCAATATGTAGAGGAAGCAAATAAATCATATTTTTTTAAAGGTATGTATTTTACTCTGGAAGCTAATATATTCTGTGGAGGAGAAAAGTATAGGTGCATAAATATCGTATTATTTTATCACCTTAATTTTTTTTTCTCTTGGAGCGGCAATAATAACATTATTTTTTAACACAAAATCTTACCCTCAAAACAATAAAATCACTTTTCTTTGGCACATTGTGAATAAAAAACATCAAGCACACTGTAACATGTAAAAAAAAGTTGTTACATAAAGAGCCATATGTTCGAGTATTATGAGACAAGCCTGTGGAATCCATCGGAGTCGTTCTAAAGCCAATTGAGAACACATTGTTGCTGTCGTCACGATCAAGATGCAAGTATTGGGCTCCGGTGTTCAAATGAGTCAATTTTATTGCTGTCAAGTACATCTCCTTGATCGGAGTGATCTGATCAACCATAAACCCACTGAGGACTTGTCCTTCCTTCAAATCAATTGAACTGCTACTCTTGATACCATTATCTTTCAGAGAAGTTTGAATGTTTGACGCAATACTAGAAGTGCCAAATTTAGACTTGTTTATTAGTCCAAGGCTTTTGAGCCATGTACTTTTTCTCAGTAGTGGTTGATAAAACATCCTTGCTGATTCTGGTTACCTGGAATATATATGAAATTGTATGGTATTATTCTTATTCATACGCAAAAAAAAATTAATTATAAACGAGATGATCAATAATTAATTACATCACTTACCCTCTGACTACGTTAGATCTAAGCACATGAAATGTCAACCGTCACACTTGTAAGTATACCATATTTAAACTAATGGTATAAATTTTCCAACTTGGCTTCACTATTTTTACTTAATGTCCCACAAGAGTGGATTGGACCCCGATCGGAATAACTCTAATTGGTAAGTCGAAACGTGGAAGAGTGGGCGGAATGGACGGGGCTAAAGCGAGGAAAGCGTTCCCCACTCCGAGTTATTTCGTTGAAAAACAGCACTGGCACTGAAAGCCCGAAAAAGTATAGGCTGAACCACGGCAGCCGGCCCGGCCGACTAAACAGCCGGCTCATTCTCTCGTCGCCGGCCCTAAAATGTGTATACATGCATATAGGAGATAGGTCGGCTGTTATCACGTTGGGATGCCTTCGGTTCTCTGTACTATGGTGAGAAAAACAGATCGAGGCCTACGCCAATGTATATAGCACCTGAACTATTATTACTAGAAAAATCTGCATCCTTACACTTAGATGTATGTTCTTTAGCATGACTCATTACGGAGTTATTTTTTGGGAATCAAGTGTGGCCTAATAATTATTATAGAGATCTTCAAAAATTGTACGAGTTACAAAAAGAGCCAGAGTTATCAGGTTTGGATAACAGTTTGAAACAAACGTTAGTAAAGTATTTCAATTATGTTCCTGAAAATAGGCCAAGCTGCTCAGCTTTGTTAGATTATTTCTCACTAAAAGAGATGCCTACATCCTCTAATAGTGACTAGTCGTTTTTTCTGTGACTTGTTTAGTCATAAATGGTAAGGAAACCTTAACAGTGAATCATTTCCTCTGATCACTGTGCAATACTGATAGTGTGGTAGTTATAAATGGCCTTGGGTCTCGACGGCAATTGAAACACCAGTATGCCACACTGTGTCTTTGGCTCTTAGGGCTTGGATTTCTAAAAAAACCGATCGTTGTAAATTGATCAATTAAAAATCGATTTTCGAAAAAAAAAAATTGATTTTTTTTAATTGCAAAAATCTGTTTGTCATTACATATGATCATAATTAAGTTAAAAGATTTTCTTGTGTTTACAGTGAACCATAGTTTTAAATAAAATTTTACTGATGTTTTATTAACTACACAGGTCTGTTGAACCAATCAGAAGGCTCGTTTAGATCTATAGGTAGTGACTTGCGTTAAGGATCTGCATCGCCCTAGACAAGATTTTCGTTATGCCTCAAAATTTCTTTTAGACGACAATGAAATGTAGTTTCTAAAAATTTATTTTATCGATCAAATTAATTTATTAGATCGATCAAAATCACCCATCACGCCCGAGTGTGCCTGTTTCTTACATAATAAAATAAAGAATATCATGGTTAATAGTATTTTGGTCAAATATTCTCCCTCAGGACTCCCACTACTTTACTTCTGGTTTCTACTTAAGTACATGCATGTAAATACACTTTCCGTGCTGTAAATACTAAATGTTTGGAGCTATTCACATACCCGAATAGAAATGTGCCGTAGCTTGCCTGACTGCCTGTGCAGGACCTGCACAGGCAAGATAGGCATTTTCTGCATATGTGAGTTCAGGCTGTGCACAGTTCCTGAACAGGTCCGGTGCTCTTGCCTGAACTGACATCAACTGTCTGCTACTACAGTATAGTCTTAACCTTATTTTCAATTAATCTAAAATGGAGCAAAACCATTATTCTTGACGAAAGACGCGAAATAAATATAGAATGTAAATTATTCGTAAAAGAAAAATTTCGGAAAAAAGAAAACCATACAGATTTAATGGAAATAATGAAAAAAAAGCTTAACTTACAGATAATATTAGTGAAAACTCAGCTGTACAGTTTGATAAGCAAGAAATTTAGAGCGATATTCAGCAAGAAATTTTTGAAGAATTAAACACAACTAATGACAGTGTAAGAAGAAAAGAAAAAAAAACAAGTGTCAATATTGATGAAGTTCGTGATTTGTATGTACAACTTCGGAAATGGAAAAGAGAGTGTTTTATTGCAAATAGCCACATGGATAAAATTTTAAAAATATTGCAATATCACATTCCCAGCTTACCTGTATCCCATAAAACTTTACTGAAATCAACTTCTCTGTTTAAAAACATTTTTTTATGTAACATAACCTTACTATTTAATTACGTAAAAGTCAGTTCAGGACTAGATTATATTTGTCCAGGTTGCCTGAGCTAAGGCTGCCTGTGCAGGAGCCTGAGCAGGTCCTGTGCACATCGTTGGATAAAATTCCATTAATGCCTGAGCAGGTCCTGCGCAGGCAGCTCAGGCACCTGTCCAGGGCCTGTTCAGTGCCTGAACTCAATTTCTGTTCGGGATCTTAGACATTTTTTGCTTATTTCATTGTGAACGTTCATATTGAAAAGGGGGTTCCACTGTTCCGCTAAACTCAAAGTGAGTGAACAGACTGAACAGACCTATACTGTGTTCTCTGTCAGTCAACATAGTTGCGACCATATAGGCTTTGTTGCCTGATGGAAAAAGAGGTATAGGTCTGTTCAGTCTGTTCACTCACTTTGAGTTTAGCGGAACAGTGGAACCCCCTTTTCAATATGAATGTTCACAATGAAATAAGCAAAAAATGTCTATGTGAATAGCTCCAATACCTTATCCTCTCTAGCTCTTGTTCACGTTTTTAATTCGACGTCGTGACTAGATGGAAAACGGCCTTAGCCAATCAAAATCGGCGTTGTTTCCAATCACTCATAAGATCACTATACAATCACTAGTAACGACTATACCTATCAAACTGCCAGTCATTCACAATTCACAACACGTCAGCTTATAAATATACTCAACAACTCAGCAAGTAGGCCTTGGGTGTTTTTGTTCATTAAAGTTTAAACAGTGGTATTTTTGTTGTATACTTTGTAAAAAGTAATAATAAAGAACAATGAGTCTTGTACGCGAGATCAACGATGATGCCCACTTTTTCACCGAATTGCAGAGTTCCGGCACAAAGCTTGTTGTTGTTGACTTCACGGCTTCCTGGTACGTAAAGCTCATGAGGTTATGTCCGACCAACTTTTCTCTCTCTTAACACTTGTATCAATGATAACGTAGCCTTTTTGTTTTTTCTTGCACCCACACCTTTCGATTAATCAACATTAGCTAACGGCATATACCTAACATTCTATAGCTTTGATAAAGAGAAAAAAAAAAAGACTCCATACAACGTCCGCTTGGTTTACAGGTGTGGTCCGTGTAGAAAAATCAAACCGGTGTTTGAGCAATTGTCGACAAAATACTCGAAAGCTGTCTTCCTGAAAGTCGACGTGGACAAGTGCGCGGAAACGGCGGCCAGGGAGGGCGTGAGCGCAATGCCGACCTTCTTTTTTTACCGCAACAGGACGAAACTCGGGCAGTGCCAGGGTGCCGATCCCACTGCTCTCGAGACCAACATCGTGCGCTTTTATGACTCGGGAGAGGTCGACGATGCCAGCGAGGGATCCGTAGCTGGACATGTACGACGTTCCGACAGACCTATTTATCATATTCTAGGGATGATCGCTCTCATCTTGATTATATACTTTTGGAGAGATATTTAATTTACGTCCTGTATCACAGGGTGTCGTCGAGACTTTTTTTACATGTATAGAATGAAAAAAGACTATTTTATTCTTAATAGTTTTAGTTTTCAATAATTTTCTAAATGCTTTATATGAGTAAAAAAAAAAGTTTAATGAAAAAAAAAAAAAATTTTATTTCCGCTACATTTGTTACTGAGATAACATTATATTGTTAAGTTATAAGTTAAAGTGAAAAACTATAGTTTAGTTGTATAAAAATACTGCTTTACTAAACATGTAATGTATTTTTTTCCGATTTTATATGAAAAATATATGTACATGTTGGCATATCACATTTTAAACAAAATCTTTTACTTTTTTCATTTCCTTAAAACTTGATATTTACACTGTGTAAAAGTCATCTGAGATGAAAATATATTGCTCAACAAATATTGCTGCTCAATTACTTTGATATATCTTGCATGAGAAGTATTTTTTTTAATACTCTTACTGATAAATATTTTCATTTTCAGATGGATCTTACTCCTTTTATCATGAAGGCGCAATGTGAGTGCTTAAATGAATCTGATGAACATTGTCTTGCTCACTGTCTCACACCAGATGGTGGATATTTGCAAAGTGACTGCGATGAACAGTTAATTATTTCTATAACTTTTACACAAGCTGTTAAGGTGCACTCTTTAAAAATTAAGGCTCCAGCTGATAAAGGTCCCAAAACCATGAAACTCTTTATTAATCAGCCAAGAACTATTGACTTTGATATGGCGCTCTCAAACACAAGTATTCAAGATCTCGAGTATGAAAACTTTCAAATGTTACTCACATTTAACTGAATTGATTAAGCAATTAAAAATTAAAAATTTTTAATTTCAGATTATCTGTTAGTGACATAGAAGAAGGAAATCCTGTACAGTTAAAATATGTAAAATTTCAAAATGTACAAAACCTGCAATTATTTGTTAAGGATAATCAAACTGATAGTGACACTACACAAATTGATCACTTGTGTATCATTGGCTCACCGATTTCAACAACAAACATGGGAGATTTCAAAAGAGTAACTGGCAAAAAGGGAGAAAGTCATTAAAAAAGATTATTAGATTAGTTAAAATTATGGTTTAAACTTTTTGGCATTATTTCAACTTTTACATAAAAAGAATTAACTTTGTAATAACACAAGAACCATGGCATATGTTACATTATGTAAAATCAGTTTTTAATTAACCTTTCAAATAAAATGTTAAATAATCTTTTCTCAATTGTTTTTTTTTTCGTCACAGAAATAAGTACTATCAAATTTTTCATAATCAATATAAATTTTCTATTTTGTACGTACTGTCGAACAAAAGTAATTAATATTTACTGCTAAAAAATGTTGTGTTAAATCAATGTATTTTTTGGTAAATTATTTACAAACCTTTGGATGTTTATTTTTCTGATCCACTATCTTTGATTCTAATTGCCGCAATCTTTGATATAGCATGGTTGCATGATTCTGCACGTAAAATCTGTCAACCATCCATCGATTTTGCTTCTTTTGTAAATTATCCAAAGCTGATTTATAATGTTGGATTTGAACATCTTTATATTGATTTTTTCTCTCTTGTTCTCGTTGCACCATTTTTAATTTATTTTTCGCACGTTGTTCTTCCAAAATCAGTCGTCTTATTTTCTAAAAATAAAAATGTGTAGATATTATGTTAAAAATCTCGAATTCCATAGTTCACTATGTTTACTAAATATTTACTTTATTTTTTCTTCTTATGAGCTCATTTTTCCTTTCCATTTGCAATTTACTCTCTTCATTTTCATATTCTAATCTACTAACCAAATCATCTCTGTGAATATTATTCCGTGATTGAATTTCGTTAATGTATTCAATGATATTATTCATAAGATTCTGAAGCTTCTACATTAAAAAGAGATGGTAAAAAACTTCCAGTACAATAAAAATTAAAAAAAAAATTTTTTTTTCCAACTTACTTTGTCGGATTCTGTACATATGTTCACTGATTTTTTTTCCGTAATAACCTTCATTTGATTCCTAAAACAGTTTATTCAAGTTATTCAATTTATGCAAACTTTGAGGCATATTAGTGTTTATTGTACGTACTTTAGGATCCGAAGTTTTTTATGCAAACTGAGAATATATTTATCCTTGTGAAAAATTCGGTCTCTGTTACTTAATGTAACACTTCTCAGACACCCTTTCAAATTTTTTACTTGTTTCTAAAACACAAAAGATAAGTTAAAATTTTATTTTAAATTTTTTGCCCATCACAGTACCTCTAGATGCTGATTTTTCTTTTGATGGGTTTGGAATTCCTTTTGATTACTTTTGAGGGATACGGAAAGGCTAAAATAAATTTTGATTTTTTTTTATAAAGATGTTTGGATTTTTGTCCAATTATGGTACTTTACCTGTTAATATTATCGTCTTTGATGTTTGGATAGGTAAATAAAGAAGAAGAAAACACAATTTCGCTAATCTTCTGTTGTAAATGTGTTAATCTCGGCTTCTGCTTCTGAATTAACTCTATGATTTTTTTAGTTTGTACATTTGCTATGAATCAAAACATCATAAAATTATTTTGTACAAGTTATATATACTTACATACAGATTTCTATCAAATCTTACCAGCATCAATAGATTGTGATTTAATTGGTGACAAGTCCATGATAATTTGTTTTAAGCTCTCAATTTTTTGGTAAATGTTATCTTGCTCGCCAAAAAATTCATCTATCCTGTATCAAACAATATATAGTTATTGAAAATACTTTTACAACATACCCAAATAAATTTTAATACATTTTATTGACAGTGAGACACTTATTCTGAAGACTGTATGTATTATCTACTGTTACGCTCAACAGCGGAACAGTAAAAGTCTTTTCTTTCATCTTTTTGTTGTTTACTTTATTTTTTACTTCTAAAGTTACACCTCTATTTTTCAACTTTAAGAACACATTGGTTTTTGTCAGTTCTACAGATTCATCCTTAATTTCCGATTCTACACACGGGTCTTTTCTCGTTAATTCTGACGTACATTTACTGGTTTTTAATTCTAATAAATTACTTCTATCCTGTAATTTATTTAATACATTATTTCCAATGTTTATTGATTTTTTTGGTAAAGGTAGGCAATCATTGATTAATTCTGATAACGCATTTTCCTTATCAATACTTTCAGTGCATTTTGTAACCTAATGATATAATGATTGAAAATTAGAATATGATTATCAAAGTATTTATACAGTAAAAAAACTCTTACTGCTTCATTCTCTAATTGTAATGTATCATCACAGCTCAGGGGAGCCACGCACATCAAGATATCTTGTAGCCTGTGTTCCACTGTAAAATACAAGTATGTAATATCAATCTTAGTTATTATTATAGCCAATGTTTCAAAATAACCATTCATACCACTCAAAGGATCATCGTGCACTGGCCCATCCAGCTCAGCATAATCGTTAGTCTCAACCTATAATTAAAAAAAAAAAAATAGTTCAACTGCAATACAATCATGATTTACAAGAGCATGTATTGATGAAAAAAAATTACATGTACAGTTACGATTTCTAAATTAGTGGATGGATCTTTTTTTGGACTTGAATTCAAAGTATTTTGGTTTAAGTACTTTTGATAGAGTGTGTCTGGCAAATCTAATGTTTTTCTTCGTATTTTTAATCTTTCTATTTTGCTCCCCTTGGTTCTTCTCATCATTTTTTGCTATATTGGTGTATAGATAAGATATTTGAGTAAAACACTGATGTATTCCGTAGTTTCGGACTTTGGATGGTCAAGTATTGTTGGGGACGTTGGGTTTCGTGTCGTCCAGGTATTTACACGCGTAATTGCGAGCTTCTTTTAGACACACCACGTACACTTTAATCACATCATGATTTAAAAAAAAAGTAATGCCAAATGCGAATGATGCCACTGTTTACGTGTTTACCGCCAAATTACCAATACCTTTACTGCACGTTTGCACAAGTGTGAACCCATGTGCAGCTTTGTTTATTTGACACTGCATTGGTTGTGCAAATACTCTTGAAGACACTCTTTAACTCTTTATTCACGCATTCCATACATTTACAATCAATAAACAATAGGATGCACGTATGGCTTGTGATATATTCTAGAAATACATTTTTTCGATAAGTACTAAAAACTAGAACCCTGTAATGACCGGCTGCCGGGAGCGCACCCAATAACATACGACTATATTCCTATATATATAATGGCTATAACCTATAACTTTACAAATACAACAGATGAGATCATGGAGATTTGGAGATGACAGATTGATAGACTTGTTAGACAGATGAGATAATCAACGCGTGTGTGTGTGTTGCCACGTTGCGCCAGTCGTTGGAACTTTAGAAGGGAGAGGCACTTTTACACTAAGTATTCTTTGATACTGATAATGAATTTTGATAGAAGAAATCAAGTATTGCTCCATTTTGTCTAAATTCTCAACTTTATCAGAGGTCTCATATATTTGAAAGAAAATTTTGACTGATAAACGGTGCCAAAAAAAAACATAAAAACTGGGGACCTGAAGTATTTTTGAACAGTTTTTAAGAAACTCAAAATATTGTTTAAGATTTTTGTTTTTTTCTATTGATTCAAAAATATTTCAGGCCCCCAGTTTGTATATTATCATACGGATGATAGCACTAGCATTGTCTGATAAACCCTAAAAAAATCCGATTTTAAACCAACTTTTATGTAAAATCTGAGAAAAATTTATAGCCATAATTTATACCTATACTTAATTATACCTGTAAATAAACGTTTACGTACACCTTATTATTCATACACCTGATTATAGCTATAGTAGTTATAGCTGTATGTACAGCTGTCAAAACAGCTGTTTATAATAGCTATATTTACAGCTATATATTTTTATCCGGGCAGGTAATAAATACTGATTTATAATTTAATTAAGAATATATTCGATTCGTTTATGCAAACTATGCATCCACCAGTTGATATGAAGGTTACAAATATTTTAATAAAAAATCATCGTCTCAATATTAACAGTAAGTACGAAAATCAAGGAAAAAGAGCTACAAAAGTGGAAAATGTGTGTCTGTCATGCGGAACTTGAAAATCCACATATATGCACAATAATGGTATGATTCGGACCGAAGAAATTCATTTTCCTAATTCTGAAAAATAAAAGATTAAATAATAAGAAAAGAAAAACGTTATTTTAAATTAATTATTAATTCCATAGCCAATTACAGGAAACCACAAATATTATGATCAAGCTTTAATATACGCATTATGGGGCGTATAAAAACAATAATAATTAATTGGTATTACTTATAACAATTTAATCTGAGTAATTTTATCATAAAGTAAACATATAATTAACGACTATTATTTAACTTATGATTTCACCTAATAACAATATTTACTAATGTATATTAATTCGATATACAAAGATTGTTTATACGATATATATATTACATCACCAAACAGTGCTTAGGCAACGTTTTAAAGTTTGAACCGAAGTACTTTATGGTTCCGGATTCGAATAACTGCAGTCAGAGCTAAAAATTCACGGGGTGAATTGGAGATTACAGAATACTTCGAGAGGAGGATATTTGACAACTAGCGCCAAGGCTTCCATGAGCCAGTGTGAAATTCCGTGAGTAGCAAACGGTGTAAAAGAAAAATTTAATAAAAAAATAAGGTAATAAGAAGTTAGAAGCAACACACCAAACTATTAAAAGGAATTTGTATGAAATTTATTTTTACGCATGAAAAGTTTGATTATCTCATAGAAATTATGATTATTTGTACAAGCTAAAATATTTTTTATCCTGATCTGAACCTCCACGGACCACCACAAGGACATCCTTTAGCCCACCTTTGTTCCCATGCTCTAATTGCTGCAGTTCTAGTAGTAACATGAATTTGAGATTTGGTACAGCATCTGTACATTTATGATAAAACAAATAATGAATACATAAAAACCAAGAAATACCGTATTATTATACATTATGAAAAGTAATGCTTTATACCGTGTGCACTCTTTTACAGTCATTGCATTTTTTCCCAAGTATACATGTCTAACAGCATCCACACATTGACTATTTCGCATACAACCTTCGACTTGGTTCAGTTGGGGTGAATAAGTAAGAGTAGGTGTAGTTCCATACTCCAGCTAAAAAATTATAACAACAACCAATTAAACTGTAAATTATATTCTTAGGCTTTATTTCCTTTTTTCTAATATACTCACTACATGAGGAAGACTGTGATAAAATAAATTTGGAGTGGCCACGGCAGTAATTCTCTTAGCTCGATGAATTTGAGGGATCATAATTTGATTTGGTAGAAGAATGCAATCATCTAATTTGAAACAAAAAATGTTAAACAATATTTCAAGTTGGCGTAATTAAATGATTTTTGTATACCTATTAACTGATCATCGATTTGCAAACCATCCCCACTTGGCTGGACCAATTTAGAAAGAAGTTGAAACACTAGTCCCAAAACATCTATGTTATCTGCACTCTTCAAAAATACTGGCAAGCAAGAAGGTCGGAGTAATCCCCAAATACGAATAATTACTAGAAGCTCACGCAGTATGTTCAACGCTTTATGGTCTTTAATAAGCTCATACTAAAAGTTTTAAAAACACAAGTGAGATTACAACCACAATCTTTCGTCGGTATATTAGCTTGTACTGAAAAATACTTACACCACTAGATTTCATTTGCATCCGTTGTTCGGGAAGTCGAACTAACAAATTCAAACTCAAATCAGCAACCCATTGTATTAATTGTTGCAAAGATTGTAGTGTATAAGGTTCGACAGTGAATTCTTTGGGTTCAATATGTAACAAAACCTAATGGAATAGCACAAAATTTAATATTTTACGTTTAAAACAAGTACGAAAAGTTTTACGTGTTAAAAGTAGAGCTTCATACCTTGTCCACATCTGTGATGTTATTTTCAGTAATGACTGACGGTAACCGTTCAGCAGGTACTTTATCATGAAAAGTATCTGATGGCCTCAACAAAGACTTGAAAGCTATTGCGACAGCGTGCAACATAAAAAGTGAAGATAAATCTGCTGCTTTGCTCTGTCCACTCGCCAACATTCTGTCGATTGTTTATTGCAAATTAAAAATTAATGTGCTTAGGTTTCAAGTGATGGTAATAAATTATTGCTTTACCTGTACAATGATATCATAATGCTCAAATGTTGCATGTAATGATACTGCTGAATTTGTGGGGATTGCCTATTAAAAGACTGATCAAAACGATCGCATAGTGATTCAATGAGAGATGATTTTAAACAGAAGAGTAAATCCAGCCAGTCCAATCCCGTTACTAAACAATATTCTAACAACGTACAAGCATAACTAATTGACATGGCCGAACCTGAAATACATATGAAGTTTTAGACAATTGTATTATATTCGTACTACAATACTTTTTATCATATACCTTCTGGATATAATCTGTATGTGTACAAACTGCCTCGAGTATCAATAAGTAGAAACAAACAACCCAGCCACGACACGTCAATGCAAGAAATTGTTGCAGATGTTTTTGAATACTTATTTAATGGTTCATCTTGCCGCCAACTCGTATTCAAAGAAGATATTGCAACCTCTTTCAAACCATCATGGCTGAGACATTGTATAGAGGAATCTGTCAGGGCCACTATAATGTAACTAGTTGGCGATACTACGGATAGTTTTGTACTTGTCAGGGCTGCTATTGTAGAATGACATCGATACAAAGCTTGATGTTGCCAAACCTTAAAAGAAATGAATATTAAAATAGTTAAGAAAAACAGAACTTTCCCAACTTTATAACTTACAACTGTTTTAAAAGGTTCACAAGGCTTGGTTTGAAACATTTTATGAATAGGTTGTGTTTTCTCTATTAATTCCCAAACTTCGATGAATCCACTAACATCACTATTAACTGCTACAACCAAGGAATCTGCTGTTTCTGATACAGCAAACTTAAGATGTGTTATGGTAGCATTTGCTGTGAAAAAAATATTTTCCAATAAATTTAAAACTTGAATGAAATTCAACTGGTTTTGAGTACTAACATATATCGTCTTTAGATGCTCCATCCTGAAGAAAAAAACTAGGCAAAGCTTGTGAAGTGATACTGCATCTTTCTTCTGATTTTCTAACAGAAACCCTAAAACACCTGATGGGTAATGTGAAATTACCACCACTTACGGCAACTAGAAACTGTCCATCTGAAATAAAAAAAATTGAAAATCAATAAGAGATTGAGATTATGTATTTATTTTTTTTACAATTTATTGAAAAATTACTTTTTGCATAGCTAATGTCAACAGCAGTAATTCTTTGGCGTATTGTTGCAAGACTTTCGGTTGCTGAACATATCGGATTTTGTTTGTCTTGAGTAATCATTACAGTTCCTAGGAGCCCCGTGTTTGTAACTACAAGAATTCCTTGAGCTGCACGTCCACCAAATTGTTTAACAGATGGAGCATACGATAAATGAGAAAATTTTTCATTGTACAGAGGGCTGTTTTTTTTCTCATTATTCAAAATAGTCTAGAAAAAAAGCATACATTTTTTTGAGTTTCATTCTCACTTTGTTAACTTTAGAAAGCATCTAGAATTATTTTTTCACACCCTCTTTCCATTATGGAACCAAGCAACACCTAAAATGTGTTCTCCAGTAAAACAGTGAGATCCAATGGAAATCCATTCATTTATAATATAATCTTTAAATGTCCACAATTGTACAAGTCCACCCAAATCGGCAATTACAAGTTTTTCACCTGCCAAATCCCATTTTAAGGCAGTAACTCTGTCTTCATTTGTTAAAATCCTAAGACAAGATATTTTGTGAAAAGGGCGTATTTGAAACATAATTTTGTAGTGAAAATTTAATTACTTGTATGGATGCCATGGCATGTTCAAATCACAGACATAAACATGACAACCCCATGTCTTTCCAGTCTTATCATGTAACTCCGTTGTTGAAGTGAATGCAATAATATTTCGACTAGACAGTGAGCATAAGGAATGTTGATCGTATGGGCTGAAATCGTTAATAAAGTAGTGTACCTAATTATTATGTGCCTTTATTATTATGTATCATGGAAACGTATATGATGTAAAACGTGAGAATAAGAAATAGTCTACTTATTAAATTACTGCATACCTTTCTTGATTAAACGATGATTTTGAGAATGTTTTTCTGTTTACCGTATACAATAAATCCATATTTATGTTTGTAAACATACCGACAACTTATAACCTAACTACAAGATTTCCATTACAATGAGCGTATTTAATATCAAAGGTTCTGACAAAAGTAAAACTCTTTTATCACAATAGGTAAATTAGTTATCTAAAGGCTGTAATTATTAACAATAATGAGTTATCTAAGAACTCTTAATACTTGTACTTTTTTATTTTTACATTTTTAGTGTCAACACAATTTACCTGTCACGCCAAAACACATTTTTTACACTACTACACGTACACTGCACGTATAAATGGTGTACTTATTAATGGCGCCAAGCGCGAAAAATATTAAATTGTCACAAACATTAAATTGTTTAGCCGTAGAATTAATGCATAAATGCATTCCAAATATAAAACCAATGCTAAAGTGGAATTTTTTTTCTTATTTTATTGTTGATCCATCCACTACGTCCGATAAATGTTTCGCCTGCTTGTTTGATTGATAAACAAAATGTTGTAGGCAAAAACTTGAGCTAAAAAGTTTTAAGTACTCTCGTGTCGCACCGTAGATAAGTCAAAAAAGAATTGCACAGAAGTGACATACTTACCTTGTATAAGTTTATTTCAACCTGTTTAAATATAAATTAAATTGCTTTTAAATATTTGTTATATACCTTTAGATGGCCGCTGTCGGTATTTGTCACTAGTGGATAAATCAGCGAGTACTTTTTTGCCATAGTTTTCAAATATAATGTCAAAAAAATGTTAGATAGTATAGAGGATATGAAATACAATTTAGTCTGAGTCTTCTTAATCTGTCACATTGGCAGAGAGTGGAGAGTGGACACTTGACTGACTTTATTTAACAAAATCTTACACGATTCGTGTAATACATAATTATGTTGTACGTAGCATATTTGAGTTGTTGTTGTGGCCTTGCGCGAAATGCAAAGATAATATTGTCTTTTGTTAGAAACGTTCAGTAATATTATAATATATGCACGTAAGCAGTAGAACGTAATAATAGCTCTGTTAAAAAAAAATATTGTAAAACATGAATAAGTAAGGCAAGTGCGTACGTGGTGTGAAAACGATGAGCGTCGCTTGTAAAAAGCTTAGTACATGAACATTTTAATGGATCGCTGGTAGACTTAATAAGAAAGTGGGGAAAAAAATAAAGACCGTCAAACGAACTGAAGACGAGTCGAAAAAAAACTTTTGCACGCGCAACTTTTGCTCCTCCTTGCTGCATGCTGCATGACCTCTCTCTCTCTCCTCCTCACACCTCTACTTACTCTACTCCTTTTTTTTTTGTCTTTACAATGTATTGTCTGTATATGTATATATATAGTACTATAGCAGTCTTCGTCTGTCGTCGTTCTTCGTCGTGTGTCGTCTTGGGTCAAGCTGCACTGGGCTCAGTTTGCAGCAGAGTATAAATGTTTAGTTATAAAAATTGTTGTGTTTGTTCCCTTCTCGCGCGTTGAACCTATTGCTTTTTCTCGTTTTCAAGGGATCACGAATTGTCTAGTGTAAGAAAAAACAAGTTAAATTCAGGATGATTTCGCTACAGTCTCACAATCAGGTACGTGTATTATCTTCTCAACGATAATAATTGGATGTTGTTTTTATATTTTGTGCTCAGTGGTAGAAGTGTACATATACTTATTTTTAATACTCACCTGCAGTAACCTGTAATGTTTTTCTTTCTACGTGTGATACAGTGATAATGCTTTATATTTAACATATTTTTACAGACTGACCTACATACGTAGGTTAGGATTTATAATGAATTTTGCGGATTAAATCGCTTTTCGAGTCGCCAATTGGTTTTTTCATAGAATATATTTTGTTGATGATTTTGCTTCTCGAGCGATCACTCTTGCACATATTGTATATAGCTATTATTTTTCACTGCAACAAACTGCAATGCAGAATTCGTTGTATGTACAAGACGAAATAAAAATTTGTTTCGCAATTTTCTGAAACCAACTGCCAAGTTTCTCGTGTTTACTACTATGTTTTTTTTTTTTATCTGTTATGCATAGTTGATTTGTCCTTCGTGTTCTATGAAAAGCTCGAGCTTATTTGACCTTTTTTTTAATTTCATAGGTACTATACCACCTGACTCAATTTACATCTGTTATTACACCAAGGTCTACGGTCCAAGTTAAAAAACACAATGACTCCAGACACAAAAAGACTGAAGAAATTCTCTGTAAAGACAGTTTTTTTGAGGTAAGAGTTAAGTATGGGAATAAAAAATTGGCAATAGCTTATATTTTTATTTGGTATAATTTTAGGCTGTAAAAAGTTGCAATGAACTAGGTATGGATAAATTATATGTACATAACTTGACGAGCTCACTGGGATGCAGCAGAAACAGTATATGGGAAATGTTGGAAAAAATTTCCAAAAAAGAGAATTTGAGGGTCTCCCAAAAAAATGACAAGTGGAGAGTATCATACGTCTCTGGGGCCAGCTTTACTGAAAATAAAAGAGGCTTTCCAAATACACAATTGTTAAATGATTCGATGTCAACGTTGTATCTATATGTAAAACCCCAAAGGAGATACTATCACAAATTTCATTTCCTGAAATCACATCCAAGCATGTCACAAGTTAGGTTTTTCAAAACAGTTAGGAGTGTTAGAGCAGAGTGTGACAGAAATCCTACGTTTAGCACAAGATTGAAGAAATGGATTGGTATAAAACTTCAATCGGTAAGTTTAGGATTATTAATGCATTTTTTTGTTATCACTTACTTTTTTCTGGACGTATTTACAGGATGCTAAGCCTGTAAAATTAACCAGTGAAGAGTTGCAAACTATTTTAACAAAAGACTTGAGCAAATTAAAGAACAATCAAGATGAAAAGTACGTAAAAATAGAAGAGTTGCACAGAATAAAAACGGCCTTTGCTGAAGGTTATCAAGCTGGTCATGATCACAAACCCCATGGAAAAGCATTCAAAGCTCTCAAGTTTACTTATCACATGATTTCTACTCTTGTCCTTCTATCTCTTCTTGTCGTTTTAATGGGTAAACACATCATTTTCTGCTATTTGTAATATTATGGTTTATCTGAAAGTCAAATAATTTTTTTTCAAAATTAGGGACAACAGGAGGTAGTATGTTCAAAATTCAATTAGGCAATAGAATACAAGTCGATCCAGAGGATATTAATGTAACATTCAATGATGTGAAAGGGGTGGGTTATATATATTTTGCAACGATATGTTATAATGAAAATTATTTTCTTCTTACTTTATCAATATCTTGCTTTAGGTGGAAGAAGCAAAAACGGAACTAATGGACATCGTTGAATTTTTAAGAAATCCAGACAAGTTTTCAGCTCTTGGTGGCAAACTGCCAAAAGGTGTTCTTCTCATTGGTCCGCCGGGAACTGGAAAAACTCTATTGGCTCGAGCAGTTGCTGGTGAAGCTGGTGTACCTTTTTTCCACGTGGCTGGACCAGAATTTGACGAAGTATTAGTTGGCCAGGGCGCACGAAGAGTTAGAGATTTATTCAGTAAATACTTGTTTGATTCTCGTTAACACAAGTTTTCACTTCAAACGTCAATAATGAAAAAAATAAAAAAAATAAAAATTTTCAGAGGCTGCCAAAGAACGTGCTCCTTGTGTCATCTTCATCGATGAAATCGACTCGGTCGGAGCAAAACGTACGAATTCTGCACTCCACCCTTACGCGAACCAAACAATCAACCAGTTGTTAACGGAAATGGATGGGTAAAACAATTTTCTAACCAAAATCCCCTATGCATTAGTGTACGAAAGTATTAAAAGACATTTAACTATACAGGTTCCATCAGAATGAAGGAGTTATAGTCTTAGGAGCCACAAATAGACACCAAGACCTTGATAAAGCTTTGTTAAGGCCTGGTCGTTTTGACTCTGAAGTCACCGTCCGAGCGCCCGACTACAGAGGGCGTAAAGAAATTATAAATTTGTATTTGGGGAGAGTTTTAACGCGTGACATTGATTCGGAATCATTGGCAAAACGCACCATCGGTTTCACAGGCGCAGATATAGAAAACATGGTACTGATCACGTTCATTTGACATTTTTCGGTTGTACCTTATTTGATTCACGTGATTATTGTAGATTAATCAAGCTGCTTTGAGGGCCGCAATCGAGGGTGCCGAGTTTGTTACAATGGACCACATTGAACGTGCAAGGGACAAGGTGATAATGGGACCGGAAGGCAAAAAAGACGCGGATGAAGAGGCCAATCGTATAACGGCATATCACGAAGCAGGGCATGCATTAGTTGCATATTTCACCAAGGACGCAACTCCGCTGCACAAAGTTACGATTATACCAAGAGGACAATCCATGGGACACGTATGTATAATTTTTGATTTGTATGTCTATTGGCACAATACTTGATTTCGTTATGGTCATTTCAACATTTTTTATTATACCAGACATCGTTTATTCCCAACAAAGACACGAATTACACAACTAAAGCACAAATGCTGGCCAGAATGGATGCTTCCATGGGTGGACGTGCTGCTGAGGAGCTTGTATTTGGTTTAGACAAAGTTACTTCTGGGGCTTCAAGTGATTTTATGGTAATTTTGAGCCAATAATTATCAATACATTAATACTGGAAAAATACTCATTTATAACGTGTTTATGAATTGAAGCATGCTACACAAATTGCTGAGGCGATGGTTAAGAAGTACGGTATGTCAGAGAAAGTGGGCTTCAGAGTGTACAAGGAGAGGATGGAATTTGGTGATGACGATGGTTCTTACAGTTCTGGAACGAAAGAAGTAATTGACAACGAAGTGAAGCGACTCTTGCAGGTAAATACTAATAAAAATAAACGTTAATTTTTGGAGTAATATAACTTAAATTTATTTACATTTTAGGAATCGTATGATAGAGCCAAAAGTCTTTTAAAGAATCATAATAAAGAACACAAGCAGCTCGCTGAAGCTCTGCTGAAATACGAAACGTTGACTGCAGATGATGTCAAAACGATTGTCGATGGTAAAAAATTGCGATACGAGACTAATGATGCGAATCGAAAGATAGTCGACGTCCCGACCAACGTCATGTAACGAGCTCGCATGCCTTGTTTTTTTTCGAGAATATTATCTCATTTGAATATTTTTTATATTTTAGACCGTTTCATTATTAACGCAGAAAAAATAAATAATTTGATTTGTTTAACAAAATTGATAACATTCCATTAACATTTTCAAAATTTACAAAATGTACGTTAAAAGCTTTGGAAAGTAAGTATCTAAAATCTGTTGAACAAGTATAAACAGGCAATTTAAAACTCGAAAAAATTTTCCTACTGTTCTTAGGATAGAACGTGAAAATGTCACGCGTCTTAGCTCGTTGTCTACTGTTAAATAACATTAATGAATAATTCAATCATTTATATTCATTAATTCACTCAACGACTTATAATACGTGAATATACTTAATAAGTATCTCGAAGACGTGCTGTGCCAGAATGGTGATTCAATGACATCTGCAGAAAAATTACGTATAGCTACTTGATTGCCTTTACTTTTTAAGTATAAACATTAATTTCGAAATTCAAGGAAACATTATGTCGAATATTTAGAAAACAGATACAACCAAAAAGAAACCTTACTGTGGGGTTGCATGGTAGTACTTGGGGTCCTGATATGCACGGAACGAATACGTTATTAAAGCATGGTATTCAGGTTTTATAAGTAGTTACATAAAGTAATGAATAATAATAGTTGAAAAAAAATTAAAAAATAATTTTATGGTCTACAAAAAAAAAAAAAAAACGTTATGTATTACTCGTAATTACGTGATAAAATAATATTCAAAATGTAAATTTTTTTGTTTTTGCTGACTAAAGCTTTGTGTATAAAAATTATTTGATTTAAAAAAAACGTTTCAAAAACTAAAATACTACGCGATTAAATTATTTCATCCTCAAGCTCTCCCATCCTAATCATAAATATTCCTTTTATATAATTACGATTCAAGTACATGAAAAAGTAACTAATATTTGTAAAAAATGCAACAATTTCTTTGTTTTCATAGGCGCACTTCCAACCTTTCCTTTGTAAAAAAAACGTAGAATATTAACTTTAGGCCATACAGCTTCAACATTTTATTCATCATACATATGGTAATTAAAAATTATACAAAATTATATTTATATTCCTTACATTTTTTTAAATATTTCCTAACTACGGTTGTTTTCTACGACTTGATAAGTTAATTATGTGTACAATTCTACAAACATTCGTGCAAAATAACTATTGTCGGTGCTGTTAAAACTTAAATTTTTTTTTTTTTTTTAAGTATAATTGAAAATTTAGTATTTTCAAATTTGTTAACTGAATGGTCCGTGGTAGAGTCCTCGTCGGAAACGTTACTAAAAGATATTCAGTCCTGATTTGTTTTCTTCAGATTGTACATACGTTTCATCCGAAAAAAATCTTACTATAATTTTAAGATGACGTATTTGTTAGTTAAAATGCTTTGAAACAATCATGTTTACACACCTCCAAGGAATATAGACGCACCAGTTTGTTTGTTTCATTTATATTTTGTTTCCTCTTATACAACTGGCATACATACACTTTTATATAAAATTTAAAAAAAATCATACAAGGTAAATCAGAAATAAATCGATATAATATATATATATATATATATGTATATTTACATTTTATAAGCAGTCATGCGAATATCACAGTTTACTAAAATCATCAATACAAGTAATTAATTGGATTTTCCATATTTACTTCAACTGGTAAAAGATGTATTTCAACTCAATGTGTGCAAGAATCATTATTATCCATATGAAAATTAAACCCTAACTATTTTCGAAAAATAACAAATCGTAAGACGTCAAGTACGCAGTTTTTTCGTGGTTTCAATCCAACTACCGTCATTCAGAATATGCTCCCTTTAAAAATACAGGACACTCAAATGTGTTCGTCCAAAAATGCGCTGCCTCTTTAAAGTCACAAGCCGAGCTTCACAAATTTTCCACTTCTGCCTCGTCTTCGTTTCTTTGTTTTTTTTTGCACACTCACCAACGTGTATGAAAACGAAGACTAGTACACAAGCTTGAAATACTATGTTTTTTTTTTTCTACGATATTGTTACAAAAATACAAATGAAAAAGTCTTTGAGAACTTGCCCACGGTGGGGCTCTCTTTCGACGGCTTTCATTTGGATCACAATTTTTTTTTTTTTTTTTTTTTTAACGGCGCAGAGCAATTATCGTAGATGACACATGCGCGCCGGAAGACGAAATTTATCATGTCTTTTTTTTGTTACTTCTCAAGGCGAAACCGCTCCAAAGCTTGACACGTGTTTCTTGTCAATCATATTTTTTCTTCTATACGTTCGTTTTCCCTCTTTTCCGACTAAGAAAGGGTTTTTTCCCCCAACTACTGAAACCTTATGATACAAGATTCTGTCAACTGATTGGGATGCTATGGGGGTAATCGTGATAATTATATGCTATACGTACGTCACATTTAACTGTACAATGGTACTTATATATGTATTATCGCAAACGTCGCAGTCGTAGATATGGGTTCAATAAAAAAATGTCAACGTTCACATCCAAGTGAACGAAAACCTGAAATAACTCGATGAGGAAAAAATACTTTTTGTTTTCAAGGCAACAGGTAACTCTTCTAAGATAACTTTTTTTCATTGTCAACTAGGTTTCGCCGAAAATAGTTTTTTTTTTTTTTTTTTTTTTAATATTTTTATAAAAAATACTTTGCCAAAGTCACACACGTTTTTTCTTTTTTTTTTTTTGTATATTCGGTCAAGAATATATGTACAGTTACAATTTTGAACATTTTTTTTACAACTGGTATTCAGACACTTTTTTTTCAAAAAACAATTCAATAAAACTACCAAACCGAAACATATGTATGGGAAAATGTCCCACGTATGCATGAAAAAAAAAAAGTAAAGGAATATTTCAAAAACCCATAGTCTACGACTGGACGTTTTGCTGAATTGGTATCGATGGCTCGACAAATATACAAGAATCCTCCCTCTTTCATAAACGCATATGTTTGTTCAAACATGTCAACGATTATCGATGGCGCAAATCGCTCGTTTTATCATAACGACGGGCTAACAACTCAGTCGACTTAACAAAAAAAAATGAGACTCGAGAGCATATACTATATTTATATTATACAATTAATTAATCAACATATTAATCGATCACTGGAGCGCAGCATGCCACGTAAAAGTGTAAATTCGTTTTGGTAAAACGACGCACATATATTCAATTTTTATATTCATGTGCGTCAGGAGCGCATCTCAACACTCCAAATACAAATTTCATGGGAGCAGAATCAATTAATTAATATACAATTGGTATATGATATCGTAACAGCACTCGCGATGGCGCGATTCAACTTATCATAAATATGTATATAAACTTTTAGCAATACTCGAAATGTAACCGTTTTATTATTTTATGTTTAATTTTTTTTTACCATTTTCTCGTTGGCATAAATATAAGAGTTTCTCGAATCATTAAACATTAAGTATACATCTTACTAAAGTAACAAACGAACGTTTTTATTTGTTTTTCAAATTTTTCAAAATTTCATGCTAACTGTTAAAAAACAAACAACCTTTAATTAAATGTTTATTCTGTACAACTTTTATGTACGAGTTGGAAACATGTTTCTAGTTTTAGAATAAAAATTTAAGGTTTTTCTTTAACAATGTCCTCTAATAGCCAAAAAAAACCTAGTACAACGAAATATGAGTCATTCTGTGAAAGTACATATGTACGTAATATTTTTTTTAATGTTGAAAAATTAACAAGTATTGCACTTTTGTCGATGGTTGGGTTTTTGATGGGGTACAAGATTTTGATCATGTAAACAAAACAATGTACTGTACGCAATAATACGATTTTGAAACGTTAAAAATGCTATCAACAAATGCATGCACGGTGATAAAAAATTCAACTAAGGCACTACTACGTAATATTCAACATATTTTCTCAAGTATAACAATGTTACATCAGATTTTTATGGACAAGCACGTTGAAACAATATGTCATAGTCGTTTTAATTCGATCCATTGAATATTTTTTTCAACTATCAACACTTTTTTTTTGTCGCACCGAAATTTCATTTTCACTGAAAATTTTTCATGATTTGCGGCGATGTGCATTTTTTTAGCCGGTGATAACGATAAACAGCGTCATTTTCAACGCTTCGCAGACTACTCTCTTACTTTACTACATTTTTTTTTAAATGAAGAACGATTGGCAAGAGATATTTGTTTTTTTTGTTTTTTTTTTGGTGCTCTACACTAGTACCTACTTAAATTACTCCTAAGCTAAGTTTTTCGTTTAATATTTCCTACTACAACGTTCACTATGCTAATGCGCGTCACGATATAACAAATAATCACCCTTAAACTGCTAGGCACGACTCGGCTCTCTTTTCTCTCTTCTAACTCGAACTGATTGTGAGACGAAATCGTAACTACTTACGTGTCTAATTGTGGTATTTCAAAAGATGCACTCTTACGTGGTGAAAAATGGTAATGACAAAAAAAAAACAAAAAAAAAAAAAACAAAAAAAAAAAAACGTTAATTAAAAGTCTAAACTTTTCGGCATCGATCGCTTTTCCATTATTGTTGTTTTCAAATCAATACTGACTCGTTTATCATCGAGATTAAACGTTTGTAGTAAATATACGTCTAGTTACTTGTGTCAAACTGTTGTATTATCTAAACTTTTGTTTATTTAGATTAAAAAGGAGTTTCATGATTACCCGATTGCATATTAATAATACTAACATCGAAAATGAAAATGAAGGTAGAAAAAAAAATATATATTTTCATACTGAGATGATGTCGATCACAACAAAAAAAGAGCAGTCTTTTCGTTTGAGGAGCAAATAAATAACACCGATTGAAAAAAAAAAACCTCGCGCCCTGTACTGATGTACCAAACGCGATCTGGGCGGTACAGTGCATCTCGCTGCGGCAAACCTAAAACGAAAATGGTCAAAGTGGCGGATTCGTAAATATATTTGATAAAATTGTACTAAATGGCATATCGGCATCGCCAATATATCATCGCTGCATCAGCGACGTTAAAACAGGGATTGTGGTTGTCACTACTTATTTTTCGTTAATTCGATACGCGACGTGTAACTACATGGTATACTACTTTGCGGATCTGAGACTATACGCTCCGATAAATACGTTCATGCTACTATTGTGCCTAAATGACGACGTGGCACGAAAATGTTATTACCTGGCTTATATTGTTATACATGATTATGCGATTACACCGAAAACTACTTGGTAAGCATTTGTGATTATAGCGATTTTTTTCTTTTTCTTTATTCTTTATTCATTTTTTTTCCACTGCCTCGTCCATCGCGTCATTCAAATACAAAAAGTTCACGCTTCGTCACGGCGCTTTTTTTCATGGCTCTTCTAGTCAATCATCAATTTTTGAGTTTTCTTCTCGTCTCCCGTTCTCACACTTTACCCGCTCGACTGTACAATTGTTTTCACGCTGCCCCCTACTTTCCAGCAAGAACTTATTGTCCCTTTGTCGCACACCGAACAAGCGTGGCTCTGTAACAATTTAAAAACTGCAGGGCGCTAAAAACTACCATCAATCCACACGCACCTCTGCCCCCGGGTATCGAACGTGAGTTTAATTCGACGAAAAATCAAAGTCTTGGAAGAATGCCATCGTTCGAGCAAGTTTTTAAAATTATTTTTACAACAACATATTGTTCGGCGATTCATCTTTTGTAATTATGTTGGTTCATTCTTAAAATTTTCAAGTTTCACTTGTACCACGTACATACCCCGGCGTACAAAAGTTTAAAAATGATTATAGGTCACAAAAAAGTCGGGGAAATTATACTGTTGAACGATTTTTGGTCTGAAATTCCGGAATTTTAAGCGAGCAGGTGACATTAAGCTTCTCGTTAGCGCTATATTGTATTGACGTCGGTACAACATTTTGGTTGGTATTGACAGAATGTTAAGTATGCTTAGAACAAGATAAAACAAAGTATTCAACTGCGTACAGCTGTTTTATAAGAAAAAAAATTTAAGTGATTGAAAAAGACAAGCTTCAAATGTAGAAGATGACACGAAATACTTTCACAAACTTATAGTTTTGAAAAATGTTGACTCATAAAACTAGCTTTATGCGTGGACACCACTTTATTTATATCACTTGAAAATGAAAAAAAAAAAAAAAAAACTTACCACANATAAAAAATAAAAAATAAGGTAGTAAAAAAAACAGAAAAAATAAAAGTTTAGAGTGCAAGCACTATATTGTTAAAAATCTTTACAACAGATTTCATGTAAAACATCTGATTTTTTATACATTTGATAAAAATTCATAAAAGAATTCGTAATAAATACTCTCGGTATTTCTTAAAGACTTAATAAACCTCCAGGGTAAAACAAGATGCAATATCCCTTTTCTAATCTGTATCTAAAAAGAGACAGATACTTCATTTGACCAATAAATAAAATATCTTTTGTTTTTTTTTTTCTATTTGAAATTCATACCCAATAGTATGAACTGTACACAACTTTCCTTAACGTTAACTTAAAAAAAAGCTTGACCATCTACCTGTCAAACCAGTACAAAGTCCTTTTTAACGATAAAGAGCCTTGTACTACACGGATGATCAACAATTTCATTTTTTCTTCTCATTTTTTGCATTCTCAGAGTCGAATGTTAAAAACTCACTGGTGAATATCGAGGAATGACTGCGTGCTAAATTTCTTTATCCCACTCTAATGGATAATCCTTTCAATGATTCGGTTCCACAACTTCGTTGAACAGAGGCGAGAGCGCGTCGACGTCCTGCAACCCGTCGAAATTTCTGAGGGATCCCAAATCGTCAGTCTCGTCGTCCAGCGGTTGCTCCAAGAAATCGGCCACACTGCACTCGACGCTCGTTGAGCAGCAGCCGTTGCCACTGACTCCCGCGGTTGACTGGTGATTCGGAAGGCCAAGCGATTGCGCGTTCAAGCTCGAATTGAACAGCATAGGCTCGTTACTCTCTGCGTAGGGATCCTGCTGCTGATGCTGACTAGAGTTGTTCAGCGGCGTCGTCGGATACGAGTGCGAGCCATTGCTGTCGTCCAGGTACTGGACGACCAGCGACGAGGAGGAGGAGCTCGGCAAGGGCAGCGGCGTATTGGGATAGGATCGCGAGTGTAACAACTTGGGCGCCGCAGCTGCCAGGCCGGTACCACTACTGCTGCTGCTGCTCAGGCCGTTGTCGTTGGTCCAGCTGTCGAGGAGGCCAGAGTTGTCTACCAGCAAAAGATTGTCGCTCAAATTTGCGTTTCCCAACGAATCCATCATCAGAGAACTCGAGCCGATCGTCTGATCCTTGTCAACCGATGGTCCTTCGTCCGATAATATATGTTGCGGCTCGGCTTCGTTCAGAATGTCGAATATGTTGTTAAGATTCTCGGGTGTCATTTCCTTGTCCTCTATGAGAAAATCTGGGTCAGCCGAGGAGACCAGCGGGTCGAGCAAATAGCTGGAGTTGTCGCATGGGCCGCATATCGAGCTAAAGTCATTGAATTCACTTGGCACTGGGGTCGGAGCTATCGAGCTGTTTGTTGACGGATTAAAGCTGTGATATTGAAAATTCGGCGTCATTTGCTGGGCAACCGAGATCGGGGACAGTAGAGCAGGATTGACCATTCTGTGCAACGGCACTGACTGCGAACGATAAAACAACTGATCCTTGGCGTACTCCTGCTGTCGCTTGCTCTGCAAAAGATCCGAAATCTCCTGATCGGTCGGCTGTGGCTTTCGGTTGTACACGTTCTTGATTTCTTGAAGATTTTCCTGACTCGGATAGTTGATCAGTAGCTGGTCCTCCTGGGTAACGAGATCCGACAGCAACGGCGTGCAGGGTAGAGTCTGGGCTTTGCACGTTTGCTCCAGAAGCGGCGAGTGCACCGGGGGCATCGTAGCCTGGGAAGCCTTATTGTTTATCAAAGGAGCCAGAGGTGAATGCGGCGGTCTGTTGATACCGTTCATCTCGGGCGTACAGATGGGCACGATAAAATTGTCGCTCCGCACGTTGCAGGATATGGAGCGCGCGAGCGTCTTTTGGGAGCTGCGGGACCTACAGTTGCCCTGCAAGTTGCTGCGCGAGCGCGGCACCGGCGTGTTTCTCGGCGACACGAATGGACTGGCGTTTGCTGAATTCGACTTCGACACTAGACCGTTGATCGGCGAGTGCGGTCCCGGGGATATGGGCGTGAAATTGAATATCCGTCTGCGCGTGTTGGGACTCTGTGGCACGGTATTGCTCGTGCTGCAACTGCTTCCGGCCGTGCTCGTGCCGTTGCCGCTGTCTTGACTGCATTCGACCGCGTTGGTCTCGAAGCTCACTCGTCGCCTCGTATTCACTGCGTTACCGTGAGCGTTCAGCAGAGTCGGCAATATCAGGTTGTGCTTCTGCAGGGCCTGCTGCTTGTCTACTGGCGCGCTCTGTAACCTCGGTTTACCGCCGACCCCTAATACTGAATCCTGTAGATTCTCCTGAAGGATGATCCTAAGCTGGGAGACCTGGTCCTGGCGGGAGGACGTTTCGGTCTCGGACACGACGTTGCTTAGTTCCATGTCCGAGCTCGACGAATTACTCGGCTGGAAGTACTGCAGCAGTTCTTCCTCCTGTTCTTGGGAGTTGTTGCCTCCGTTTAGGTAATCGTTGAGCGTGTCGGTGTCGATGTTGCCGAGTTTCGTTTTGAACGCGTCGCACGAGTTGACGTCCGATAACAGCTGCATTTGATCCTCGATCAACTTTTGGCTCGATTTGCCCGTTGAGTTCTTTGTGTGGCCGTTTGATTTGGAACAATCAGAGTTAAAACTCAGAAATGAATCTTTATCACAGCTTTTTGGGGGCTGATTGACCAGAGCCGCCGCGAAGATAGGCTTGTCGCTGGTATTGTTGCTCTTGTCGGTTTTTGGATTACTATCTAGTATCACTGGTATCTTTGTAGAATGTTGGTGCTGCTGCTGCTGCTGCTTATGATGAATGGGAGTCGAAGAGAGCCTGGGAGTAGAGCGCGCAGTGCTATCCAGCATGTCCGTGAGTTTCAGCTGCTTTTCGGGACTGGATTCGGAAGTCATTGATGCCGTTGTCACCGTTGCTGCCACCGATGCCGCTACACTGCTTCCGGCGCGCTTTCGCGCGTTCCTTGGTTTGACTTCACGCGGCGACTGCGCGCTGTTGCTCCTCACTAGCCTAGGCTGAGCACTACTAATTTGCTCGTTCGCTTGTATCGATTGTACCACTAGATTATCACAGTTGGACTGCAGGACCGACGAGCCACTGCAGGGTTGGTTGTTGCTTTTATTAACAAGTTTTTTCTGTCTGCTTATCGGCGTGACAGCTGCCGAGACTGGCGCATTATTATTATTATTATTACTATTATTATAATTGTAATTATTATTATTGGCCTTGCTCAACACATTGTTTGTACCTTGAACCAGGTGATTTACATTCGTCACTTTACCACGTTTGCCCTTTTTCACCTCTGCCTCTATGTTCTCATCATTCTGATCAACAGTCTTTTCTTTGTTATTGACCTGAAAATAATCAAAACTTACGCGTGAAAAATCGAGATTATGAGTGGCAACACGTACAACAAATTCATAATCACCGGCAATGTGCTGTTAACGGGCTGATCTTTATGATCACGGATTTGTTCTCGTTGTTGAAGCTTACGCTGTAATTGCAGCTGAGCCTCTCTTAGTTTACCATTTTTCGCTAAACCAGCCATTGCAGGCAATCCTGGACTCGTCCCTGCAGCAACAAAAAATACAAGGGGTTTGTTTAAACTAGGAAAAAAAAAAAAAAAAAAAAAGAGTTCAGTGAGTTGGGTGTAAACCTTTGTTAGTCACAGGTTGTGTTTCTCCAGAAGCACTCAGTAAACACACAGCAGCAAGAGATCGATTATCAACGCAGAGATTATTAACAAGATATTTTCCCAACGAGCAGAGAGTAGAAAATTTAATGTCTAACAACGACTCAGCCCACTCGCGAATCAGTGTTGAAGCGGCTCCCAGCATCTCTTCTGTAAGATTTTGCTCGAAATCTTCATCCTAGGGATAAAAATAGTCGTATTTACTGATTTGTGATAAACGAATATGAGCACTATTTACGTATAAAATCACTACAAACAGCCTTACAACTTACGACATCTACATCACTCATGGAAGGTAAAGTTGGAGGATCTAACTTTATTCTTTTACGCATTCCAGAGTAACAATACCGCGAATTGCCACGTGTGCCCAGTCTACGAGGTCGAACGCGAGGGTATACCTGCTTCATGACTTTTCCGAAATCAGCCGTGGATAGGGGTTTCATGGAATTGTTTGCACAGAATATACTGCCGAAAAGAATCAAACCATAACTGATTACTTAGTAAAATAGCACATGAATATTCAGTTTAATGTATTTCTGATGAATTAAAAGATTAAAATAATCATGATGATCATAATAATTTGATATTGAAAAAAAAAGCAACTAGCGATTAGTAATTACTTGTACTCATCGTAGACTTCTTGCTTTGGTAAAGAGACGTCCGGGTCCTCTTCAAGATGTGTTTTGATCCACATAATTGTCTGATGAATCTCGTAACGATTACCCAAGGGATTCAAGGGTTGCCTGAGTGGATCCACCGCGCCGTTGGGATTGGTCAAAGATACCGAGAGCTTGAGGTACAGCAATAACTTTTCTTCCACCTTCATCTGCTCAACTTGCGAGAACACTTCTTGCACGCGATACCTAGACTCTTCACTGTGAAACATCAAAACAATCCTAAGTACTAGTAGATGTGGGGACAATGAAATTAAAATGAACCAAAGATTTGCAGAAAAGAAAGAAATTACCTGATGCTATCCTCTACCATGAGGCGTACGGCCTCGTGCTTGGCAGCAGGAGTGAGATGACTGAGGTTGTTAAATTTGCTGCCTTTGAGGACGTCCTGCAGAAGATCCCTCGAGTGAAAGTGGCCGTTGGAAAAGCCCGAGGAGGGCGGCGGAGGAGGCTGCGCCGAGACGGATCTCTGGTGCAACCTCGTCGCGGGCTGTTGTTGTTGGACGCTGCAGCTCGCCGGTGGAGTCGGCGTTGGCGACCGCTCCTTCTTGACTTTGGCCGTACAAGCGGCCTCGAGCTGATGGCTATTTGCACTCATGTTCTCATCTGCTTCTTTTCTCGTCAACTTGGTCTCTCGTTCGCTCCTTCTCTCACGCATTCGCTGAGCACACGCTCCCCCGCGTCCGTCGCGACAGGCAGCAAATACTTTAGGTGTAGACCCGCAGGGCGCTCAGGCGCATGGGTCTCCGTGCCAAGTCTCGGCCGCTGCCATGTCGATCCCGAGTCAGTCAGCTGGTGGCTCTCAACCCACTGCTTGCCCGAGGTGAGTAATAACCGTTTGCCTATAGCCACTCCAAAGGTTGCTCTGTCGTCTCCAGCTGGCAGCCCTGATCTAGGGCGTCGCAGCCGGCTCCTACGCTCCTCCACCTCCACCAGCCTACTACTGGACGAGCGGCCCTGCTGTTCGACATCGGCTGCCTGCCGGCTACCAGGGTGCTGCTCGAGCACTGGCGGCGCTGCACTACGCGCATACAAGCCCACCCACACATGCACGCTACTGTGGCGCCTCCTTCTCCTCCTCCTCTTGGGGATATCTATAGCTGGTGCGAGATGCCTCTCCCAACTAAGGACAACGCACCATCATCGGCGCCAATAATAAGATAAAAGCAGCAAATTAATTTCTGCTGGTGGCTCCAGCTCAATGGCCTCCTCGGTAATCAATTTTTCCATACGCGCTGCTCGTCAACGATATTATTTCATTCTCTTTTGTTGCTAGCTAAGTACGCCCTCCCCATCGAACCTCCCTTTCTTTTCTTCTTCTACTTCTTACTCTTGGCACTTCCTCCGGAACGGATTCTGGTTCTGGAGGAGTCCTGTCTATCCCCGGGCAACAAATAGGGAAAATATCGACGCGCGTCAGCCGCTGTGTGTATAATATATATATAAGGTATACACTTCAACTTCGGAGCAGAAGAGAAGCCTTATTCATATTCCATCCACTGATTTCGGTCGATGAAGTTTCCTGCGCGTCCCAAGACGCCCCGGGTGGTATGGTCGTGGTGTTCTCGACTCTCCTCGTTCGCCTTCTTAGGTTCTCAGTGTGTTCTCACCCTCAAAATTTCGAATCCTTTTGCGTTACTTTTTTTTGGGCGACCAGGGGCGACGCATACGGCAGACGGGACCACGGCACCACGCCACCACGGCAGACGTTGGCTTTAGATGTGTGTGTGATATAGGTATAGGTATAACCGTACTACAAAAGGTGGCTGAAGAGCCAAGTCCCCCGAAGATGCGAAATGAAGTTGGTGAAGAGAGACTGAGAGAGTGAACTTTCCCTAAACTTTCCCACCCGTACACGCGTGCGCGCGCCCACCACCCCGCAAACCCCAATCCCCAATCACCGATCGCCCCTTGTGTCGTCGTCACATCCTCTCTCTCTCTCCTCCAGCTATACATACACTTGTTAAACTTCATCTTCAGTCATTGTACCCGATTACTTATTAATCCACTAACAATTTCAAGTTATACTTTCTATTTTTGACCACTTCATTTCTTAGATCAAAGAATTTTTTTTTTAACACCACATATACGTAAGTAACCCCCAGACGGAAAGGGACCAAGAAACGTGTTCGTTGGTATATATAGGTACTTGTTTATTTTAACATTTTTTTTCCGGCTATCTTGGCCGTTTATAGGTTTAGGTATTCGACTATACCTAAACAATTACATCATGAATAATTTAAGTTGTTAATATCCATCACACATTTTTTTACTCTGCACCTGAATATGATAGATAATTTAATTTAACAAAACGAGCACAGGAAGAAGCTATACGCGGCCAAGTAAATTGTAATGGTCCTTAAACAATTCAAAATTCGAATTTGCCGCCTTTCCCCCCTCTCACCAAGTATGCGTGTGTGTGTGTCTTGTGTTATGTGCGGGCATCGTCTGCTTTTTAGGCATATAGAATGCATATATAGTTTTCCCGGCGGCAACATTTGTTTTACGTTTCGTTCAGTAATATTTTACACATAGCTGTAATCTAGGGATGTCAAAAAAGTTTTAACTATCTCATGAAAACCACTTTGAGACCTAGGTAACCATTATTATTTGTTATCTAATTTTTTTAATTGTGAATAGTAAAATTATCAAGTTGAATTTTCATAACCCCCAAAATCAATGTTTTTACTTCAAAAAATGTTTGCGTCTAGTATTTTTATTTCAAGTTGGTAAGTGATGTAATTATAATTATTGATCATTTTATCATTTTTACAACGAATTTTTCGTAGTACAAAATTTACTTACTCATCAACTTAATTTCAACAGAAGAAAACCACAGTTTTGTTTTGATGTGATTGATAATTTTAACCATAATGTTTTTTGCTGCTCTTTTTAAACAATAACAAGGTCATTTCATGTATATTCCAGGTAACCAGAATCAGCAAGGATGTTTTATCAACCATTACTGAGAAAAAGTACATGGCTCAAAAGCCTTGGACTAATAAACAAGTCTAAATTTGGCACTTCTAGTATTGCGTCAAACATTCAAACTTCTCTGAAAGATAATGGTATCAAGAGTAGCAGTTCAATTGATTTGAAGGAAGGACAAGTCCTCAGTGGGTTTATGGTTGATCAGATCACTCCGATCAAGGAGATGTACTTGACAGCAATAAAATTGACTCATTTGAACACCGGAGCCCAATACTTGCATCTTGATCGTGACGACAGCAACAATGTGTTCTCAATTGGCTTTAGAACGACTCCGATGGATTCCACAGGCTTGCCTCATATACTCGAACATATGGCTCTCTGCGGGAGCGACAGATATCCATGTCGGGACCCTTTTTTCAAAATGTTGAGGAGGTCTCTGGCAACATTTATGAATGCCATGACTGCGCCTGATTACACCTTTTACCCTTTCTCAACGCAAAATTTACGAGATTTTAGAAATTTACAGTCTGTTTATTTGGACAGTGTTTTCAGACCACAACTACGGGAACTTGACTTTTTCCAAGAAGGTTGGAGAATGGAACATACAGATCCAAATGATAAAAAGTCTCCTATAATATTTAAGGGGGTCGTATACAACGAGATGAAGGGAGTTTTCAATAGTAATCAAAACATCTTTGTCACACGATTGTTGAATTCACTATTACCCAGTCACACGTATGGTGTAATATCTGGTGGTGATCCCTTGGAAATTCCCAAATTGAACTACGAAGATCTGGTCCATTTTCATGCTACACACTATCATCCATCCAATGCTAGATTTTATTCTTATGGCAATTTCCCACTGAAAGATCATTTGAAGTTCATCAATGATAACTATTTATTTTTAGCTGATAAAATTAATACTTCAAAGACAAAAGTACCTTCAGAAAGTAGGTGGAGTGCACCTAAAAAAGAGCACATTTTGTGCAGACCTGATCCACTGATAGCTGATTCAAATAGACAGAACGCTATAGCAATAGCTAGTCTCTGTAACGACATCACCAATATTCAAGAAGGCTATGACGTCTATATTTTGGCCCAGTTATTATTGGATGGGCCTAATTCTGCGTTTTACAAAAGTTTGGTAGACACCAATATTGGCACTGGTTTTGGCCCGATGACTGGATATGAATCACAAGTCAAGGATACCATATTCATAGTGAGCTTGCAAGGTGTCCAAGAGTGTGATTTTGAAAAGGTTGAAAGGATATATAACGAAACTGTTGCTAAAGTAATTGAAGATGGATTTCAGAGGGATCACATAGAAGCCGTCCTCCATCGCATCGAGCTGCAAGTGAAACATCAAACGTCAAACTTTGGCTTGAATTTGCTGTACAATGTCATGCCACTGTGGAATCATGATGCCGACATTATGGATTCGCTCAAGATCAACAAAGCCATTCAAAATTTTAAAGATAGAATCCAAAGAGATCCAAATTACTTGAGTTCTTTGATTGAAAAGTACTTATTGAATAACAGTCACAAGCTCACCATGACCATGTCACCCAGTCAAAATTTCGAGAAGCAACTCGTTGAAGCTGAAAACGCTCTGCTGGAGTCTAAACTGAAAAATCTAACTCCAGAGCAGCTAGATGGAATCTTTAAAAATGGCCAAGCCCTGCTAATCGATCAACAGAAAGAAGAAAACGTTGACTCCCTACCGGGTCTCAAAATCGAAGATCTCAAGGAAGATGTCGACCGATACGATTTAGTCGACACTCAAGTTTGCAATGTACCCGTGCAAGTGGCAGTACAGCCCACAAACGGCGTGTGCTACTATCGTGGCCTCATAAACACGCAACACCTGTCACCAGATTTAAAGAACGTACTACCGATTTTTAACGACGTGGTAACGAAAATGGGCACCCAAAGATACGATTACCGCGACTGGGACAAACTGATGCAGCTAAAAACTGGTGGACTGTCATTCTCGAATCACGCGATGGAGCACAAGGTGGACAACAACAGGTACGAAGAAGGTATCGCCATCAATTCCTACTGTCTCGAGCACAATGCCGAAGAAATGTGGAAACTATGGGAGGAGCTGTTTAACAGAGTCGAGCTCACCGATCTCCAGAGGTTCGAGACCCTGGTGAAGATGGCGGCGGCAGACGTGACCAACCGCATAGCGAATTCGGGCCACCTGTACTCCATGAGCTCGGCTGCCAGTCTCGTATCGCCCATTGGAAGGTACAAGGAGAACCTCTCAGGCATGGAATTTGTCAACAGAATAAAACATATAGCCCAGATGAAGGACTTGTCTCTGGTGCTCGAGCAAGTGCAAGAGATCGCCAAACAAGTCCTAACGAATCCGAGTCTGAGATCGGCCATCAACTCGACCGGCGAGTCGATGAACGACATCCTCAAGAATCTGGAGTTATTTTACGATGCGTTGGATAAAATCGACGGCCAGCAGAACCGAATTTTCACGAGCTGCGCGCCCATGGAGATGACGAACAAAGCTGTGCACCACGTACTCCCCTACGCCGTGAATTACGCATCGAAAGTCGTCTCGACTGTGCCGTACAGCCATCCGGATCACGCGCCGCTTCAAGTACTCTCGAAACTGATATCGTCGAGCTACCTGCACCCCGAGATACGAGAAAAGGGAGGTGCTTATGGCGGAGGCTCGACGTTGGGAGCGGACGGCACGTTCTACTTTTACTCGTACCGAGACCCGGGCTCCACACGCACGCTCGACATTTTCGACGGGACTTGGGACTTTTTGGCCAAGACCGACATCACCGAGGAGAAACTCGTCGAGGCCAAGCTGCAGATATTCCAGAAACTCGATGCCCCGGTGGCACCGGGCAACCGAGGCATGAACAGGTTTTTTAATGATTTGAGCTTTGACGACGTGCAGAGCCTCAGGGAGCGACTGAGGGCAGTTAACGGGGAACAGCTGCTCGACGTGGCCAAGAGGTACTTGAGTCCGGACGCGAAGAACGTGAAGATTGGCAGAGCTTTGATCGGTCCTCGGAATGCCGATTTGAAGTCGAGGAGCTCGGAAAATTGGGAGATCTTGGAGCAGGAGGAGCAGTGCCAGGCGCAAGCGATTTAACGATATTATTACTTTGTCCCTAAACAAACTTTTGTTACCGTTGTTGTTGGTTTATTCGCGAAATTGCGCTATAAAAAATTTCAGGTGTCCTAAGTGTACAATGTTAAGCGAAGCTTTCATGAAACGTGTAAAAAGTATTATTATTCTTTTTTTTAAATAAATCTAGCTTTTATGTTTTCGAATTTCTTGTTATTTTATTTGTCATTTACAACTCACCTTTTGAAGGATTTTTTTATTTCATTGTTTTTGATTATTCCAACAAAAGAACTGTGTTGTTATGATTGCAGAATGGATGGAATGGATGAAATTCAGTATTTTAAAGAAGTGATATTGTTTTTCAAAGAGTTTCAATGGCTCTACAATATGCCTGTTACTAAAATACTGTGTAGAGGTTCGTTAGACTCGTTACCCGCCGATTGGTTAGAAGCCTTAAAAGACATAGATAACAAAGATTTGAATGATTTTGTCACTGAATTTAAGACACAAGTGCGTAAAGAATATTTATCAATGTAATTAAATTTTGTGTTTTGGTAATCACATTTTTTTTGTTTTCTCTAGGAAAAGTGGCCAAGATCTTTGCTCAATTTTGTTGAAAGTTGTCGCAGTTTTCATAAATTACCAACATCTAACATTTCGTTATCGTCGATCTCATTGCCTGAATTGTTCCTCAAAAAGCTAAGTTTAAAAAAGCAACACGAAATATTTTATTTGGCACGCTTAGTCCATGAAAAATGTCAACAGCAAGAAATATCATTTGTAGTCGATCTTGGCTGCGGTCTGGTAAGAAATCTCAAAAAATCAAATTGAAAAATAAAAAATATTTCATTTAAATTTTTTCGCGAGAGTTAATCGACTCTAATGAATAAACTATTTAATAAAATAATTACAGGGGTACATTTGTCAACTACTCAACCATTTGTATGGATACCAAGTATTAGGTTTAGAATCGAATGTAAAAAACGTAGAAGCAGCTAAGGTCAGACAGAAAAATATTTTTCCCGATTCCCTTTCGGCAGTTAAATACGTTTGCTGTACGATATCTAAGGATTCTTCAGAGTGCATTGAATTCATTGTTAACCGAGAGTTTGGAGAGATCGAAAGTATGTGTTTGATTGGCTTACACGCTTGTAGCGATCTCAGTGTGCACATGTCAAACATATACTTAGAAATGGAAAAGGCTAAGCTGCTAGTTTTAATTTCATGTTGTTATCATAAATTAAGTCTCAAACAGGTTGATTTGGAATGTAGTGATAAAGAATATTTTAATTATTTTCCTTTGTCAAAGACTTTGGAGAACACTGTAAAGATTTTAAATGTTGATGTTGGAGAATTTTTGAGGAGACCATTTATGCGATTAGCTTGTCAAGAAACGTCAGACAGGTGGCTTGGACTTTCAAAAAAGGCTCACAACGAACATTCATTCCATGTTCTTGCAAGAGCAGTTCTTGAATTATATGCTGTCGAAAGTAAGCATCATTTAAAGCACGTTGATTATAGTTTTATCATAACGGGAATATTATTTTTCAGATGACCTGCAAATAAAGAAGCTTGTCAGGAAGGCTACCCGAAAATCTCAATGTATCGACTTCGAGACTTACTTGAAAGACTGTATGCAACGTTACACATTTGAAAAGCAAAAAGATTGTGATGTACACATGACACATTCTGTTCCTTGGGATGATAGAACGAAAAACAGTTTGATAATACTGTGGAAAAATAATTTAGAGAAACAAGAAAGTATAGAAGTGTACACTGGCTTACAGTTACTTTTACAACATGCCGCAGAATCTTTGGTTTTGTTTGACAGATTGCATTACTTAAGGGAGCATAATTTTGAAGCTGATATTGTACCAACCATGAATGGATCTCTATCACCTAGATGTTATGCTATAATATCAAACAAAAAGCGAAAGCTTTGATACGTAGCGTGATAAATAATAAAACTAGTATTTATTTTACATATACAAGTATAAATAAAGTAACAACATTATGTTATCGACCATAAGGATGAATTTGTGATGCAGCCTTGATATTTGTTTTGATAGCACTTGGAGCCTTACTCATTTGTCCTACTGAAACAAAACGTAGTAAATTTTTAGATGCATAAGGGAAAAATGAGATAAAAGTACTTTTAAATATATTAGTTGATTACCCATGGGTCCTTGTCCAGGCGTTTGCGATTGTCCAGCTAGTCTTCCAACAAGCATATTATTCGCGACTGGATTCACACCGGACTGGACCATCTGAACATCAGACTAAAAATAATAATTGGCACATAAGAAATTGAGATATTTCCTTAAATAAAAATTAAGTTTTTATGTATTTTACCTTTAATCCTTTGCCATTGCAAACTGCATTGATCAATGCATGTGTATCAGCAGAACTACTAGTCTGCATCTGTGTTGTTCTACTTTTAGTTTCATTTTCCATTTCTTCCCTGTTTTTATTTATAGCATCAATAACCATACCTAAAACTTTATTATACTGCTGTACCTGTTTCTGGAATTGGAAAGGGACGCTGTTAATATAACTGCAGTAATTATAATTATGTTTGTTCCAATTGCTAATAAATCAACAACACTAGTAAAACATAATTGCAAGCTGGTAAACAAAAGGATGAAACTCAAAATTTTATGGCTATTTATTAGCAAATGGAGCAAAAGAAAACAATTAATTCTAACTGTATTTGTAGTAGCTTACATTAAATTCCTAGTTGTAGTTTTAGTTAGCATATACAAAGAGAAAATAATTATTTTTATTATAAATTTGTGTATCAATTACAATTATTGTGAATTTTGATTTTTTTTCATAAACATGACTGATTTTGTTGTTAGTAAAAAATGAGTTATACATTGAATAGTTGTGACACATAATTGAAAGAGTCATTTATATCTATTGAATTTGTCATGTGTCAAATTTGATGTACTCATCACAAAAAATAATAAAAAATATACTTACATTAGCTTGGTCAAAGTTTAGAGTATTGACTTTTGCCTCATAAGTCAACAATTTTTGCTCAACTTGAGGGTCGGGTTTAGTTCTCAAGTAGTCTGGTACTAAATCATGTGCAAAAGTTGATATTCGATTCTCTGTTAACCTCATCAATTCTTCATCCTTTTCAGGACTAAGATGTAACGGGAGCACTGTATAATGTTTCAAGTTTAGAGCCTTGTCGTGACTAAGAATCTTAGAAAGGCTTGTGAGCTGTAAAAAAGATTAAGCAAGTACAAAAAAAATCCAGAAAGATAATAAGTTGTGGGATGAAATGATTTCCTTACGTGACCAGATATGATGGCAAAGTTATCAAGAAAATTTGGCCAGTTCAGAGTCTCGTATTCACACTCCAATTTAATTATCATTGAAGCAATTGCCGTTTTTAAGTCATTAACCCTCATTATTATGGCCTCTAGGGCGGACTCCAACTGTTTTTCTTCTCTCTGCATCTTTGGATTTTATCTGTAATAAATAACACAAGGTTTTTACTTGACGTAAATTATTAATTAAATAGACTAAGGTAACACGATACGTTGATTATATTTACTTAAAACTAACGTAGAACCATTTTCACACCGACATTAATTAATTTGTAAATTGTTGTTGTTTACAATGGTTAAGGATAGGTTACCTATCCTACAATAAAATGTGGGACTGTATGCAAATATGTGTATATATGTATGGCATTGTGAGAGCGCATCAGGACAAGGAGCGTTCGATTTTGACTATTTGTCGCTTTATTAGGTCCATTCAGTCATCCTACTAGTTCCGCTTAGTTCCACAGCTTTCAAGATTTATACCTTAGAGAATATATTATTATATATTATGTATATATTCTCTAAGATTTATACACATTAATGTGTGCAAAATAAGTTATAATAAAAATAAATATTATTTTTATTATATTATACTTACTAAATAGTACATAGATCAAATTAAAAACAAGGCATTGCACAGATGAGTGTGTAACACCTGAGAGGATCGAATGAAGCGATAGAACACCAGCCAGCGGCCACATAGAAAGTAAAAATTTTTTTGTAAATTTACTAGATTTAATGTTGGACAGAAATGCGACCCATATGAAATGTAGTACATTTACAAAAAAAATGTAATATTACAAAAGGGTGGTAAGTTTACAACGACGCTTGTAATACCAGAGTACGACTGATGTTTCGGCCGTACTTTTACAAATACAGTAGTGACTTTACAATATCGTTTGTAAAATTACGATGCGCTTGTATAAGTACAACTGCAGTAGTAAAAATAACACTTGAATAGTAAGTTTACTAATGTAGAGGTCGTGACTTAGGGTGCCTGTACATGGGAAACCTGCAGTCTGGAGAATGCCAGTCAAAGCTTCGGCGGGCGATTCAATTCAAATTGATAGAGATCAATATTTTTTTTTTCTTGCATTCTGTACAACAGACACCTTGTTTTCAATGAAACTAGACTCTGAAGTCGCATTTTGATTTTAGAAACTGATTTTAGTAAAAAGTTTTAAAAAATTTCGAGTCAGTATAACAAACGACTAGTCGGTAAACAGGGAAATTGCAGTAACAGGCTGCCAGCAAAAACTAGTCATTTGTTATACTTACTCGAAATTTTTTACCAAAATCAATTTCTGACATTAAAATGCGACTTCAGAGTCTAGTTTCATTGAAAACAAGGTGTCTGTTGTACGGAATGCAAGAAAAAAAAAA